CCCATTTCGCCCCCAATTCGCCCCCAATGGAACATTCCCCAGGGAATGAAATATATATTCCCAATTTTCCCAGGGAATATTCCTAGTAGGAATTTTCAACCCTATTGAATTGTATTGATTGCGGCATTAATAATGTGTTGTAATTTATTAACGATTTTAAAGTATTTGAAAACATGTGAATCACGTGTTGTTTTGATTTGCAATTCATAACAAAAACCATTTATTAATTGATTTACAAATTACTTACATTTTCATTGGTTTTATGTCCACATAAGTAGTGGTGATGTCTTTGTATTGAGTGTTGTCTTCGTATTCTTCCGGATGTCATCGAGTGATGGGTTTGTATTGATTGCGACAAACGATTCGTTAAATTGTGACAAATGTTTGTGTCTTTAAAAGCAGTCTTTATTATCGAAACCGATTTGAATGAATGCCGCAAACGATTCGCCACTCAATTGGTAATGGATTCACACAAACGCCGCGAACATACAGTCAGTGCTCTCCCGACGACTAGAGTCCCAACGGTTTGTCCGCCAATACATCGATGTCTTGTCAGCGGCTGTGGCCTCGAGTTTGCCGGCGAATACACGCTAAGAGCACACCAGAGGGCTGTCCATAAAGAGCCGACGCCTGCCATCAGCTTCTCGTACGACACCAATGGTGTGGGCAGTGATAGCGCCGTTGGGTTAACCCCCGGCCCGACCCATACGAGTCATCGGCGGTTTGTTCGCTCGCAGACCAGCAAAACAGGCGTCCACTCGTCGTCGGCCGCCAAACGGTACGGCTGTCGTCACGACCGTTGCGGCCGATCCTTTGCTACGGCACTGGCGCTCAAACAACACAACAGTTGTGTCCACTCAGCCATTGGCGGACAATACCGGTGCGACTTCTGTGCCAAAATATTTTACCACAAATATTCATACGATCAGCACTGCCTGACTGTCCACTCGGCGGCCACCACTCATGTACTACAGGCGCCCATTGAGACCGGAGTTATTGTCCCATACGTTGTTATGGAGGCTACAGTACCTGATTGTATACCGATAGCGCCCACGACTGTCCTACCGGTGACCCACGACTGCCGTCCGTCGTGGCGTTATTTCAAATCTGCTGTCAAACCCTTTTAATTACCGGTAATTTTAATTGGGTTTTAAACTCAAATACTGTATATTAAATATTTAATGTTTTAATTTTGAATTCAAATAGAAATTTACTTAATTAAACAATTTATGTAATATTTGACTAAAATTATATAATTATTGTTTCCAAATATGTTTGTGATTTTAATTATGCTTTCGTAACAAACCGTTGATTAAAGTTATTATGAATACATTTATGATTTTTAGTATTTATGTGTAAATTGAATGTAAAGTTTTGTGCGAAACTATTTTTACAGTAATTTAAATGACAGACAAATGATTTTTCTCCCGAAAGCGTGAATTTAATTGAATGTTCAATTTAACCATATATTACGTCCATTAATGTTAAACACTTTGCCATTGAATTGTATTGATTGGGGGATTAATAATGAATTGTAATTTATTAACGATTAAAAAGTATTTGAAAACTTGTGAATCACGTGTTGTTTTGTATGCTTTTCATAACAAAAACCATTTATTAATTGATTTACAAATCGTTTACTTTTTCATTGGTTTTGTGTCCACACAAGTAGTGGAGATGTCTTCGCATTAGTGTTGTCTTCATATTCTTCCGGATGTCGTCAAGTGATAGGTTTGTATTGATTGCGACAAACGATGCGTTCAATTGTGACAAATGTTTGTGTCTTTGAAACCAGTTTTTCGCCGACTTATGAGTCGTTTGTCCCGAAATGGCGGTCAAAGAAGACATTGAAATGCGATTACAATGAGTGCCACAAACAGTTTGTAACTCGATTGCTATTGGGTTTACACAAACTCCGCGAACACAGCGTCTGTCCTCTCCCGAGGACTAGAGTCCCGACAGTCTGTCCGCCAATATATCGATGTCTTGTCAGCGGCTGTGGCCTCGGGTTTGCCGGTGAATACACACTAAACGCACACCAGAGGGCTGGCCATAAAGACCCGACGCCTGTCATGTCATGTGAGACAAATGATGGCGACAAACAGGGCGTCCACTCGGCGTCGGCGGTCACCAAACGGCACGACTGCGCGCACGACGGCTGCGGCCAATCATATGCTTCTGAGAAGGCGCTGAAGAAACACCTGCGTTGTGTCCACTCGGCCACAGGTGGACAGTATCGGTGCGATGACTGTATCCAAAGATTTTACAATAAACGTACGCTCGATGAGCATCGGCTGACTGTCCACTCGGCTGTCTCTCATGCACTACAGGCGCCCATTGAGACCGAATTGAATGTTCCGTTCGTTGCTTTGGAGACCATAACTGAATATATAAGGATAGAACCCACGGCTGTCCTACCGGTGCGATCAACCACTGCCACCACTAAACCAAACAACAGGTATATTAACCATTGATTGAAGCCATTTATGATTATGTGATCACTTTATCTCTCTATATATACAGTCCTTTAGACTCTGACGTTGAAGTAATGGATGTATTGCCGGCGTATAAGCGCTTAGTGCGGGTGCGGCCAATCACTCGCCACAAATCGATGCCCGCAATCATTGAGTAATCATTTTAATAACAGTTTATAAACAGTACATTAATTATGTGATAATTTTTGTCAACAATTAGTCTCTCCGATACGAGTAGTGATAAAAATAGTGGACACGAATCGGCCGACAGTCGACCAGAAGTGATGGCCATTAGCCACTTCTCGGGCTCGTTATACACGTGCGATATTGACGACTGCGGCCAACGATTTGGATGGCAGGGCGGACTCGACTGTCATCTCTTGTCTGTTCACACAATTGCCGTCTGTCGGGCGCACCCGTGCGGCCAATGCGAGCGCTCGTTTGATACCGTAGACCAATGGGCGGACCATAAGCTCGAGTGTTGGCCAACAATTTGGTCACTCCATTGCCTCGACTCTGATTTGGGCGATAATCCGTACGTTACGGCCGAAGGAGAGCTCAATAATTGGGTGCACCGACGCCCGGGGCGGCCGTCGCCCGCACCGCGTATACCATGCGGAGAGTGTGACTCGTCATTCAACACCGACGCCCAACTCGGCCAACATCTGACTCGGCGTCACTCACACCCGCTGTTGGACTGCGATAAGTGCGGTCACAAGCAGTTTAGGTCTCGGTTGCAACTGATTGGCCATCAATACACTGCACACTCGCAGCCAATGCCCGACCCGTTTACGTGCGTTGA